GGCAGAATTTCAAGGTCTCCAAAGCAATCTTCAAAGCCTTCCACTTCCTTCCCATTATTATCATTATCATTATTATCATTATTATCATTATGATTATTATGGTTGTCATTCCCTTTTTCAGCTCCCGTATAGGTCCCTCTCTCAAAGTATGAACGTGAAAGTAGGAGGCTAGTGGCGCAGGGTGACTGTGGGAGCTCGTCGTCTTCTGATTTGTGTTTGAGCTGTTCTATCAACAGAGCTAAATTGTCATCCTCTTCTTCGTCTTTAATGTTCATGTTTGGGTAAGCAGAAGCTGTTGCTGCTGCTGCCGCTGCCTCTTTCTTTTTCTCTTCATTTCCATCCCTGATTAAATGCTTCTCCCCTTTATCAATAGTCACGTACTGTTTTCATCAATAACAACACCAACAAATTACTCATCTTTAACTTCCTCAAAGCTTTCCATTTTGCATTCAGATATGTGATAGAAGTTAACGTAGCTAGCGACAAACATGACTTTTAAATTTTTTTAAAAGAGAACGTGTGAAGTATTCGTAACAACCCGACTTTTCAACTCAAACTGTTCTATTTCAGTTTTAGTTAATTATCTTCCACTTCTCTGTAATCATCTAATAATTATTTGTAATTTAATGGTAATTTTGTTTAAAAACCTATTTGAATGAATTTTAAAATCAATTTGTAAACTATAGGAGTATAGTTGAAATTAATTAAGCTAATTTAACTTAGAGAACTAGAATTTTTTTTAAAAAAAATTAAGTTTAAAATAAAAACAAAACAAGATCAACGATGTAAGGTGAGGAAAAAGTTTGTAACCGACGGCTGGGATGGCCCCACAAATGGGGGAAATCCTATCTGTAAAAAACAGAGAAATTATTTATAGGAACAAGGAACAAGGAACAAGGAACAAAACATCATATTTTACATGTTCAAAGTCACTTTTATATTTGTCCATATTATTATTTTATTTTTTTTCCTTTTTTTCCTTTTTCCAAGCGTTACAAAGCAGCCATATTAGGAGAACCCTCGCATCATTATTATATTACTTTTCTTTTTCCATAAAATTCTAATTATTCAGGGGGGGAAAAAAAAAAGGAAGAAGAAACTCACGAAGTTCTTGCTATCATCCTCATAAAGGGTAATTAAATCTCCCATCATTAGCCCATTTTGTTTAACGAAATCCCCTATTCATTGCAAGAAATGGAACGAATTAGTAAAATTTTGACAAAATTAAGAATGTTTTATGAAGATGAAGTACTAATAATTCAATTTGTGGGATTGAGACCTGTGCTTTCAAGAACATACATTCTACTCCTGTTGTTTGCCCAGTACCTACAAGGATTTAAAACACAACAGAATTTGAATTAATTAAGCGAAAAAAAAAAAAGATGTTAAATTTTCAAAGCTTCCATTAATGATAATAAATGAAGGGGTTTTGCCTTACTTGTATTTCATGGACCATTTCTTGTTCGAATTCACATCTCTTATCACAATCTGCATTCCTTCCTTATCAGTCAGAAATGGAAGATTCTCTTCAGCTTCCCTCTGTGTTAAAATCATCAGCAAATTTGGAAAATTAATTTTGATATATTTGTAGCAAAAAAAAAAACAATAATAGGGTTTCTAATTATCCATTTTTTGGATTGTTTTATTTCATTTTCACTGTTCTATTGGATGAGGGGGGGAAAATAGGCACAGATCTGAAAGTACAAACCTTGGGGAGGACAATCCTGCCCAAAGACCCGACATCACTGTTCTTCAGCTCTTTCTTCAGCAATATTCTCAATACCTTGTCCCACCAAAAAAAGAAAGAAATCAGTTTCTCATTAAATAAAGAAATAAAATAAAATGTTTTAATGGATCCCCCACCTTATCTGGAGTGCTGAGGGTGGAGAGATTGAGATTGTGGGTTCTGTTGGGTTGAGAAGGGGTTACTGTTATTCCTTTGGAATGGTGGTCGCTGCTACCGGCAAACCCAGAAGAGGAGGAGGAAGAAGAAGGGGGTTTAGTGACGCTGAGGCTTCTTTGGCGGGCGAGTCTTCTCTTACTTCTAGCCACTTTAGTACTCCAAGCATCCAAACCCCTTCGGCCATCATCTTTAGGCAAAAGGGGATTAATAGGGTCGTTTTCAATGGGGAAGCCGTAGGAGACCAAGGAGGGTGGGACGAAATAGGATTGTGGAGTGCGGAGGGAGAATCCCAAGGGCGGGTGGGGAAGAATTGGGACGGGGGAATTTTGAGGAGGAGGAGGAGGAGAGAGGGCAGTGGTGGGGGGGAACGGAGGAAGGTTGAGGTTGTGGCGGTGGCGGTGGTTGCGGCGGAGGCGGAGACGGTGGTCTTCGTCGTCGTCGTCCATATGAGGAAGGTGGGGAAGAGTTTTTTAGTTTTAGTTAAGGGGGAAGGAGGGGAGAAGTGAATTGGTTAAAAAGGAAGGGGAGGGGGAGGGAGAAATGCGTTAAGAGGGTGAGGGGTCCGATGCGGCGGAGAGTGTGACAAGTGGGAGGAAGAGGGTGGGTTTTGGGATGCACGTTACTTTGATCTGAGCCTCATCTGAGCAAGGGGAAGTCAAGTTAGTGTGAGTTATAGGTGGTATGAGAGAGTTAAATGGGTTCGAAGTTGGCGCGTTAGATGGTTTAAATGTGGCAGATTTGGGCTAACCTTAGCACGGAACACCATGCAACCCGCGGCTCACCCAACCATCCAACTCCCCATGTCAATATTACAAAAACCCCTCTCTTTCTCGCTTTCTCGCTTTCATTTCCTTTTTTTTCTCTTGCTTTACCTCCTTCCTTTGAACTTCATACCATATTAAGCTTCAGAAACAGACACAGATAGAATGAAAACTGAGAGAAAGTAAGTGGTCATTAGGGTTTGATCGCATTCATAAATACAAAATAGCGTGTATGATGTATTTTAGGTGAAGCTAAAAGTAAAACCATTACGATCCACTCTTAGAGTAGACATCATCTTACTATGGTAAATATACGTGGAGTTTTATAAAATTATACTAGAGATGGAACTGTGAACAATAGTTTTGTACGGATCGAAAGGTTATGAAGTCGTCGTTATCATTGGCCGACTCAGTCTTAATTAAAAAGTGAAGGCACGAGCATGATCTAAACTTAAGCTGATCAAACCTAAGACATTGTTTGAACATGAATCAAGTCAGTATAATATAGGCATGAACTTGATTAATTGGATCAAAGTTATGGTTGAGCTTGAAACATCTATTAACATGACTGAGTGAATATCACTTGAAAAAATATATATTTTTTAAATATTTTCTTAATGTATTGAATTTATTTTTAACATGTTAGTTGTTTGTACTAAATGATTTTATAAAATTTATTTTAGCATATTTGAGTTTATTTTTAAAAAAGTTGTATGTTTGAATGAATTTGACTTATGGGAAGAACAACTATGGTTTAAATAAACAAAATTAAATAGATAAAAATAAAACCGTTATTAAACAGGTTTTTCGTGTAAAAGACACGAATAGATAAATTGTAACGCCATGTTATAATTAGCATCCGTTTAGATTTGGTAGGTAAAAAAAAGAACATCGATCTATAGAGTGTCGTGGTGATACTATGATTGGCGGCCGGTATAGATGTTATAGGTCAAAAAACATAACTTTATTGGTGACAATGATGAAGGAACGTTAAGAAATTAATTACATTATGGTAGTAGTAGAGATGCATGAATAAATAATATATACAAAATGTGAATTTAATGTATTACTAACAGTGAAAGTGAGAATATCTTAATGACAAATAAAATAAAAATTAGAATGATTTAAGTAAAAAAAATATTGTTATTAGAAAATAATAAAAATAAATAAATAAAGGAGGGAGCGGTGGTATGGAATCCTGTGTTCCAATGGGTGGGAGAGAGGTTAAGAAACGGCTTGCATACTTTAACTGAAATTCTTACTTTTGTCATTTTCCATTCCAGTATGATGTTTTCCGCAAAACATTTATTAAAGCTTCAGCAAACTAATTTTTATATAAAATACTAAAAATAAAAATAAAAATAAATAAATATTATTGAATTTCTTGAAAATTGAATAACTTACCATGTTTGTTGAATAGTCAATAAAAGGAAACTGCCAAACGTTCATCCATACTTTGTGTTAATACGTTCAATAGGAAGTTACAGAGTTTATTTTATTATTTTAAAAATTCAAATCTGAGAAAATAATGATATTTTTACCTATAGTAATAATCTTAAAATTACTACTCAGAATTGATATAATGAAATTATTATTCTATTATTTTTTTAGTGAAGTGGACCTGAGGCCCATCAAACGAGAGAAGCATGAATGGGTAACGGCCCATTATTTTCAGTCTAAAAGTCGGCCCATTATTCTGCAAAAGGGGCCAATGGGACTCGTTGACTTGTTTTGAAAGAAATTGTTTAATAAATAATGGTTTGTTGGAGATTGTGGGTCCCACAATGGGGAGAAGGGTGATGGACTGCGTGGAGTTGGAATTATAACGTGGGAAGGAACGTCAAAATTTGGAGACTCCAATGGAGCGGTTGAAACCGCTAACGGACACACACGTCATCTCACCTACTGTGACTGTCTGTCACCCCTCTTTCTATTTCTCCTCCCTTATCGTCACCTGGCCTCTACCACGTGCCATCCTCCTATTTGTCAGTCACAATCCATGCCTCGTGTTTCTCCTCGTACATTCGTACTCCATTGGATTAGAACAACACCACAGTTTTTTTTTTGTTTTTTTTTTATATATATATAATGAATTTGACTTTGGATATGGTGTTAACTGTAAACCAATAAATAGTGGAATTTTTAAAAGTGGGATTAGAGATTGACTTGAAGTTGGGACAAAATGATTATGGAAGTGGAGACTTTGGTTGGAAATTCGGTCAATTTAGATAATTAAAAAATAAATAAATTGAACCAAATTCAAGCCCTTAGAAACAAGGGTCACCCTCCACTCCCAGATCCAATTTCTCCAAATGATGTCAGAAAATTAAATAAATAAATAGAATTAAAATACTGAAACCACAGGAACAGCATTCATCACAACTCAGATACAGAAACGTTCGGAAAGAGAAAGAAAAGGATCAATCGCCACCACTCCGCATCCATCTACCGCCGCCGCCGCCCCTGATCGCCCCCAGAATCCAACATATCCGTTTACGTAACAAAATGAAATCTTGTGCTTTTTCGTTTGAATTTATGTGAGGATCCCTTCTGGATTGGATGTGTGTTTTTTTTCAGACCATCATTTATTTTCAGCTCAATAATGTCTGCCGTACTTCTGTGTCTCTGAAACTAAATATAATTTCGCAAAATTTCAGTATCTTTTTTTAATTTTTTTTTTCTCGTAATAAAATTAAAAACCCCATCTTGTGTTAGAAAACCCTAGCTGATTCATGCAGAGAAGTGGGAAGTTGTTGAAGCCTAAAACGCTCTCCATTTAGTATTTCTCTAAGATCCCAAAAAACCCTTTTCGTTTCAAATCGATTGGTTGAGAGATGCAGCGTGGGCGAGATGATCAAGATCGGAGATTGAAGGCTCTACAACCGCAAAATCAAGCTCAGCCACAGCCACAAAAATGCCCTCGTTGTGATTCTCTCAACACAAAGTTTTGTTATTACAATAACTACAGCTTATCTCAGCCTCGTTATCTTTGCAAGACTTGTAGAAGGTACTGGACTCAAGGTGGTACTCTCCGTAACGTCCCCGTCGGCGGCGGCTGCCGGAAGGGTAAACGACCCAAACAATCTTCTCACTCATCCGACAACTCCAACTCACAACCGCTGCCATCACTCCCGCTGCCGCAGATAGTCCAATCCAGTTTAACAACAACTCCGCCACCCGTAATTTTCTCGGGTACTCCCGTCATCACGCCGTCCTCTTTTTTCAATCCTGGTGAGCAAGATTAGAATTTGACCTTAATTTAGTTTTTAAAAAAATCTCTTCTTTTTTCAGTATTTTTTTGAATCAATTTCTCCGTCCTCCCTATTTTGTTGGAATCGTGGAATAAAAAGAGATGGAATTTTTATGATGCAGTTGGAGAATTGGGGTCATCTTCGAGCTGGGTCAATTCATTTGGATCATCACAAGGGCAGCGTCCAATTCAACCACCAGAAGTAATCTACGAAATAATGGACCAATCATCAGGGAAAGCCGCCGTGAGTTCATCTTCTCAAGCAGGGTGGTCGGAAAGTTACATCAACAATTATATTTCAAACCCAATGGCCGCTGCCGGAGAGAACCTTGTTTGGACACCCAACAACAACAACAACGATACCCCCACGACCACCGCAGGCAACCCCACGAACAATAGTACTACAATTAACCAGTGGCCTGATTACATGAAGGGATTCGATCCACCCCCATGACATGATCGATCACAAATCAGTGGAATTCGATTCTTTCTTTTCAAAAAAAAAAAAAAAAAAAAACATACCTTTGATATTCCATATATATAAAAAGCTTTGACTCAAAAAATTCCCGGCGATGAAGTTGAAGGTAATTTGATGAATGGTATAAGAACAAGCATATCTTGTGGTGTAATGTATATTAATATAGGTTTGTTTGTGTTCCAACGCTACTTTTTTGGTTTGATTAAAGAGAGTAATTATGATGTGTTTATGTTTTCCGAGCACTTTAGCTCGTTTAACTAAATTTACTGCCAAAGTGAGAGAGCCTTAAAAGAAGAGAAAAACATAAGCTTGTTGTGTTCATGAACAAGAGGAGTTTGGTTGGTTGTGTGTGAAAATGTGTCGATATGGGGAAGGTTATTTTGTATTTTACTGTTGGATTTTACTCACCACCAGTTTTACTTTTACTTTACTCTTTTTTTTTTTAATGTGGCAGTAAAAATGCAGGCTTTTGAATGGGAGGCTATGGATATGAAGTAGTCATATGAAAGCATGCACGAGTGGAGTAGAAGAGGGCCCAAAGTCCCATCGAATATGAGCAGTACATCACAACACAACACGTTGGGCTACGACTCGGGTACCCTGCCGCTCATCATTTGGTCACCTGCCCGCCCTTTAGCCAGATAAGATAACCCTTTTTCATTCTCTATTGTTGACTCACCCATTATTCTCCCTCTGTACTCCCCACACTACCTGCTATCATTGCATGGAATTGTTCATCGCCATGAATAATGCCCCCTTTCAACCTTTTAAACCATTCCTCCACTCCGTTCATCATCACATCACCCACTTCCTTTTTACGTCTTCTTTTCAAAATCACCCTACTACTACTACTACTCAATTACATTATCAAATTTGATTAATATATGAATGAATTTGAGCTCCCAATTTAACTGGATCATGGATCTTACTGTGTATGAGACGACCCCACATAATCTGATGTCAATTAGTATCGAGCTGAGCACATAGTCTCTCTAACTTATATAGTTCTACAGGGTCACAAGTATTAGGACTATATAGATGACATGTTAGAGAGCGTTACATTTGTAGCCAACGTGATAATGAGCAATTTTCATGGGAAATAACATGTTTGAAAAGGTTTGAGGTTGCTTGGAAGGCAACCAAAAATGAACCGACCTTAGTAGATAATTTAATTAATTGGTCCAAATCATAAATAATTTACATGTATATATATAGCGAGAGAGTGTAAAAGAAGGGACAACAAAATAAAAGGAAAAAAATAAAAATAGTGTCGGCGAAGGAAGCTTGAGTCAGCAAAATAATAATTATAAATAAAGAAATAAAGAAACCCTACAGGCTACAACCACTGCTCATATGTCTGGTCCTATGCGTGGAATGGACTAGTTGTCGTGTTGTGTTTCGAGTATTAATAGAATGTTTTTTTATTTTGTCATAGTGTATAATGGTGTCATTTAAGAACATTCCGACTAAGATCACATTAACATCCTCTTCCTTATACGTATTGCTTTCATACTCATATTTTAATACTCCAACCATATAATATAATATTTTTACATCTTCTTCCCATTTGCCGTAATGTAACGCTCTTCCTTTTATATTTGTCTTAGATTAGATTAGATGTATTGAAATTGAAAGGCAGACCCAACTGCTGTGGATTGATTTGATTTAGTTTGATGTTGTACTTTGGGCCGACTAATAAAGACAATATTGGCCCATTTATATATATATATATATTTTAATGTTATTTCATAATGCCTTTGAGGCTTACATTTTCATTATTATTATTTTTTTCTCTTATTAAAGCTCTTCAAAGATAAAAGGCACTCAATCTAATACCCTCTACTCCTCAATGATGAAGCTTAGCTTGGGACCCAAACTAGAATGACTGTCATTGTAATCAAGTGAGCTACTCGATCATACTTTACTATGAACTCGGGAGTATATCACGAATTGTCAATCTTTGTATAAAAACTATGCATGAATTTAATGATCATAGCCCATTTGATTAAGACAATCGAGGAAACTAAATTTACGAAATTTAACAATCTAATTGTGATGATAGACCATTACAATATAACAAAGCTCCCTCTCATCTTGTATACCCTTAACAATATGTCAAAAAAGAGAATGAAAAAAGAAGAAAAAGAAATATGTATCAGACCCAATTAGAAGCATGCATGGAAGAAGGCATGCGAAGCTATGGGTATGGGTATGAATGAGTGAAAGGACATGAAAGTTGTTGAAAGTAAAAACATAAAATTCTAACGATGCTACTTTTATAAGGGACGAAATGAAAGAGGATCCGAGGTTCCTCTCAGCGCAATTACCTATAAAATTCTCAAACCCTCATCGTTTGAGCCTTCTTTTGCTGCTGACATGATCGCTCCGATCCACCTCTTCTCGTCTTTCCTCCCAACTTTATTCTTAATTTCAGAGGGAGATCCAAATACAAATACAAGTACTCTACCTAGAATAGAGAAGCAATTGAGGACCCGTTATTGGTTGGATCGTGCCAAGTCCCGGTTGCAGCCGTTGTCGAGTTCCAAAAATGAGACGGGTCGGAGAAATTCGATAGATCTACTTGCTCCGTGTGATTCTGACGTAGCCTGTTACGATTATGAATAAATGATTATGTAATGATCTAAAAATTTAAGCTTTTGAGTTAGTTAATTGTGATTCAATCCAACCTGTTTAACCCCTCCATCTTCACTTCCTTCATCGGCATCGTCAAACTAGCTTCGAAATTACCCGAAAGCTGCGAATTGCGGTCGAAGGAGATCGTGGGATGATGGAAGTGATTCGAATTGAGTGAAATATCTTGAATTTGCTTAGCGGAATTGAATCCTTCCCGGAGATCACCGATGTGGGAGAGAAAGCCCGAAGATGAAAACCCTAAACCGCTACCAATGGCATCAAACTGCGGCGACGAAAGGTTAAGAACAGCAGAAACAGAATCAAGATTTGAAAAGTGAAGATTTAAGGGAGATGGGTTAGTGGTATGTACCCCAAAAAACATTGGGTTGTTGATATGAGTTGAAGCTGAAGAAGAAATATTAGCAGTAGTAGCGTTGATGGAGTTGAGAAAGCTAGGGTTTTGACTTGGAGTTGACGTGGAAGTACCGTTGACTGAGGAGGAGGAGTTGGAGGAGGAGGAGACTTTGAGGCGCTTGTTCTTCCGGCAGCCGCCGCCGACAGGGACATTTCTCAAGGTTCCTCCACGAGTCCAGTAGCGTTTGCAGGCCTTGCAGAAGTGCCTTGGCTGAGAGAGGCTGTAATTGTTGTAGTAACAAAATTTGGTGTTGGAAGAATCACAACGCGGGCACTTAAGAGCTGGTGGTAGCGGTGGTTGTTGTTGTTGACGGGGTTTCTCCATAATCGGAGAAGGTGAAGCCATTAGGGATGAACCCTTTTTATCATTTAAGAGATTCTAAAGCAAACGAGTTGAAAAAGGGGGAGAAGAAGGGAGAGAGAAGGTTAAGATGTTGGATTAGGGTAAAATAAGAGAAGAGAGAACAGAACCAGATATTCTGTTCCAAAAGCTACGCAACAAAAAATGGGGAGAGAGTCATGTTGAGTATAATAATTGGAGAGAGAGACAGAGAAAAAAAGAGAAAGTTGTGGCCATTTTCTAATACCGTTGAAGAAAGGAAATATTCTTGAAGTTGCTACACATTTTCTCCACTCAAACAAATCCTTTTAACTCTTTTTTTTCTCATGGGATTCAAATATTCAAACAAATCAATGAATGTACTTCAACTTATGTTTGGTGAAATTGTTTTTTTTTTTCAAAAAAAAAAACAGTAAAACATGACAAGATCTCATAATGTTAAAATAGTTTAGGAAAAAGTGAAAAATTACAGCTTCAAGTTTACATTTCACGTGGTGGGTCTGAAAAAACATCCCAAATTTGAATACTTTATGATTAAAAAACCTAAAAAAAAAAACAGATGGGAAATCCAAAAGTGAGGGAAAAGACAAGGAGATAAAGTAGAGAGATATTAGTTATGAATGTGGGAAGGTTCAACGAAATTTAGAACAATACTTCATCGGTACGTAACAGTAACATTCATTTTGTGTAATCAGATATGATATTGTCTACTTTAAACATAATCTGTCGTGACTTTGTTTTGGGTTTCTAATACATAAGAATTAGTCATGTGGGATTTCCTCTCGACCATCCTCCACCAATCAAAAAAGCTTCATGTTTTGTGTTTTGTGCTAATGGAAGAGAGAGGGGGGGAAGAAGAAGAAGGGGCAGAGGCATGTGGAGGGCAGCTCATTTATGTGTGAAAAGAAGTGGAAAATAAAGCAAATCAGAGGTTGAGGAAGAAATGGATTTTGTAGGGCTCCAAGGGATTTGTTTCCTTAAAATTCTGGCCCCCATCATTATTCTTCAGCAACCCTAATTTGTTCTTGAAACAAAGAAAAGGAATTTAAACTAATCTTAATCTATCACTTAAGTAGAAGATTAGTTTATAATTTATTTATTATTTAATCTGGCTGATGAACTAAACAGTTGTTCTCGTGGTTTGAGATTTATTTATGAACCTCCCTTTCAAAGAATCTTTGCTTTGTTCTATAAAACAATACCTGCCAAAAGCTTCCCACTTTAGTTTGCTACTCCTAGGCCTCTCACCCCCACTCTCTAGAATGCATATACACCATCAAAATGGGATACCTCTTGGACTAGCTTTAACACCCTTGGTTTTTAATATGCAAAAGATCAAAAATGGTAGAATTTAAGATTAAAATATGATTATAACTTCGTGACCCATTTCATTATATAATTTAACTGTGAGATCCTACATGTGTGGGAGAGGGAAACAAATCATTTCTTATAAAAAAAGTGTTTTCAAATCATGAGACTGCTGATAATACTTAACGGGTGGATAATGGATGGAAAGATGAGGAAATAAAGAGAAGGGGGAGAAGGTTCCTCCATTTCTTGTTGTTTTGGGTTCAATTTCATTCCATATACATGAAATTAAGGAATATCGTAAAAGAGAAGCAAAGGTGAGGTGGTCCATAATATAAGTAGAGATAAGCAGAATTTGAATAAATATTTTGGCACCACCGCCGTCGCTATCAATCAAGAGATTCCAAATAGAAAACTAGTGAGAGAGGTTGGTGTACCCATCAATGCCTCGCCACAATGACCCAACTTGCTCACAAACATGTAATTAAAACAACCCATTCACTTCGCAACCTTCTTCATTTCGCTTTCAACATACCTCTTCTGTTAGTCAACACAACTGGGTTTGGTTAAGTGCATCAAATTCAACCAGTTTGAGACATGAACCAATGCCATGCCTTGTAGAAACCTTCTTTCTTTTCCATGCAAATATATATCCACTTCAGCTTTTACACACCCTTTTCCTCTCTTCATATTTATGATTTGATCCAACATCATTTTCATTTTCCCTCCGCTTATCTATTTCATTCAACCAGATCGTTTCAATGTAGCCATCTCTTAATAACTACGATAGAAAAAAAAAGGACAAGGAAGCATTGAGGGTGTATATTTGTATTTGTATGGGTAGGGCGCCTAATTATGGGTATCTAAACGCATTTTGGACTGTTCCTTATGGCACCTTTATCCCTTCAATGATCCCCCACTCTCCCTTCAGCCCTCCACAATGTTTTCTTTCCAATTTCATGCATCACTTTCATATACATACACTCGATTTAAAGTGTGAAACTACTGTGAAGACAAACTGAAAAATAGACCCCACCTCACGCAGGGAAGACCAAATCGTGTTGGATCAAGGCTACTACATAGCTAAATCGGTCACCCAAAGCCACAAGAGAGAAAAAATTGAGACACGACCCATTGGAAACATGCACTCAGTGGGGTAGTCGGTGCAAAGTGTTGGATGAAAGTCTCATATCGGCTAATGTAGGGAATGATCATAGGTTTATAATCAAGGAATACTCTCGTCATTGGCATGAGACCTTCTGGAGAAGCCCAAACTAAAGCAATGAGAGCTTGTGCTCAAAATGGACAATATCATACCATTATCGAGAGTTGTGTTCGTCTAACATGGTATCAAAGTCGTGCCCTAATAAAACTTAGTCATGTCAATAGAATTCTCAAACAAGGACTCAAAAAAGAAAAAAAAAAAAGAGTGAGGCTCCTCGATGGCGTGGTCAAAAAATGACGAAGACTTCCAAAGAAATCGATGGCTTGGTCAAAAAATGACGAAGACTTCCAAAGAAAAAGGAGTCGAGCCTTGATTGAGGGGAGGCGTACTTTGTTCGAGGGAAGGTGTTGGATGAAAGTCACACAACGGTTAATTTAGGAAATAATCATAGATTTGTAACCAAAGAATACTCTCTCTATTGGAGAAAAGCCCAACCATGAGAGCTTGCGATTATCATACAATTGTGGAGAGTCGTGTTCGTCTAACACAAAGATCTGTTGTCCACCCCTCCACTACCCCAAAATAATGAAATCATGGTTTATTGTAATCGAAAAGGAATTTTTAATAAATTTTTTTTATGAAAATATATTATTTTCAAACTATTTATAAAAATATTTTGCTTTATTATGTGGACCTAGAGATCCATATCCTCCTGGTAAAGGCCTAAATGTCCGTAACGAGGACGCAAAACTTGGGCCTACAAGCTGGTCCGGCTTTCTAAATGGGCCCGAGAGCCCTGCAAGGCCCAATATATAAGCTCTTCTTACAAACCGGCTAACCAGCATAAAATTTGAGGTGTTGTACCTTGTCTTGTCTTGTTTCGTTTTTTGTTATTTATTACTTTTATAAATAAGAAAATAATTGATATAAAAGTTAAATTATAAACTTAACACATTAACTTATGTAGTTTTATTTTTCAAAGCTAAATCATTCTAATTACCTGATTTTCTACTTGCCGTGGTTTAAAAATGGACAAAATGTGCTAATTAGCCTATAAATATTTTCATTATATTTATATAAGCATTGCAAACATTAATATTTATGACCCCTTATAAATATTTAAAATTTTGTTTTTCAAATTTGGGTCTATTTTTAAAAATATACGTAAAAAGTGGAAAACATATCGTATTTATAAACTTGATTTTTAAAAATTAAAATCTGATTTTATTATTATTAATTTTGGTGTGTTTTTTTACAAGCTTAGGGTACCCCTAAACTTTGTTGTCGAAGAATCCTACTTTTTAGGCATATTAAAAATTACATTCTAATATGATAAGGTTGCTTACGTAGTTGAACATTATGTCATACATTCGATTATCCTTTAAATTTAATTTGCCCAATACAAAATGAGCTTTTATAAATTTTTAATATAAATATACTATTTTCATTAAATTGTTTGTGCAATTTTCCAGAAATAGAAAATAGAAAAAGAAAATTGAAATAGTCAAAGTGGATACAGTTGGCAGGAGAATAAGGTTCTGATTTACCATCCTTCGGGAACAGATGGGTGGACCAAAATGAATTAGGCAGCTGCATCATTGTGGTCCATGATGTACCCGATAATTACCCCCCAAAAATTAATATAAAAGCATAAAAGAATATAGGACAGTTGCCCACTAAGCTCCAAACCAATTGGCGCCCATAAAACAAAAGTCGTCTCAAATCTCGCAAAAAAAAAAAAGAAAAAAAAGGAAAAATGAAAAAAGAGGGGCATAGGCTACCGTGCACAAGTATTCACCATATGATGCCACGTGGCAAAGATCCATAGGTGGACAGTGTCGAAATCATTGGCTGATATAGGGCTGTCACCTTTGGGCCAGGTTTGTCAATAATACACTCGGAATCGTCCTCCATCTGTCCAATGGAAAATGACTGTCAACTATTATACCGACAAAGACTCTTCCTTTACGCCATTCCCCAAATACTATACATTTCACCATGTGACATATTTCCTAATGTTTTCTTAAAGCTTATAATTACAAATTAGAACACATAGTACTTATAATATGGTTTTAGTCCCTAAACGTCATAAATTTTTTTTCAAATATTTATATTTGTAACTATAGGTTTAAAAACCCATGGGTATGATTATTTATCAATATTTTATATTATATATTTAACATAGTGAAGATTCTCTCCCATTTATTGCTTGTCTTAATCCATTTTTCTTGAATTGGGTTCTTATAATTTTACTTTAAATTCTTGAATTATAGAATAAAGTTGATTTTAAAAGAAAAAAAACGTTAATGTAAAACACAAGCTACAATATGTCAATATCATGAAAGATGAATTTATTCTTAGTATACAAATATATAAAAACATACATATATGGATATGAAATTCGAAAAGGAAACTACCAGTTCATTCATAAGTTTAACGATTCGATGAATTGATGTGATTAGATAATACTCGAAAAGAATCTCAAAAATTGATAGACAAATATTTTGAAGCACGAGGCAACCACACAAGGTAAAGAAAAGAATAGCACTTGGACAAGGACAGATAATTATATACACTAATAATTTTTTAACAGTATAGAGAATTAATAATTTTGAATTTTTAAGATTTATTGAAAGCTTATTAATAATTATGTATATAGGCAAAAATAAAAAATAAAAAAAATAATGCATGGAAGCTGCGGTCCTCCACTCACTTGTTATTTCCGTTGTAGTTTATATATAGTGTATGTTTCTTCCGAGTTGCTCCACATAGGCTTCTCTGCAAAAATGGAAAACTCAGGAGATCAAGGTTGGGGGGACCCAGTGGAGGAAGAGGAGGAGGAGGAGGAGGAAGACGACGACGACGAAGTAGGGTTTGTAGAAGACGAGAGGAAGAAGAGAGCCGTGAGTAGTAGCCGAAGCGGCAGCGGAGGAGGAAGGACTTCGGTGGCGCGTTGCCAAGCCGACAGCTGCAATGTCGATCTGAACGGCGCCAGGGCGTACCACCGCCGCCACAAGGTGTGTGAGTTCCATTCCAAGGCAGCAGTGGTGATTTTGGCCGGACTCGAACAGCGCTTTTGCCAACAGTGTAGTAGGTAAAGGAAAAAAAAATAAAATAAAATAAAAAATACACATTAACCAATCACCAAGCTTAGCGTAAATAAATTATATATATATATAAAAAAAAAAGATTTAATATTTAACAGTTATGAATATAAAAAATATAAGCCATCACTAATTTGGAGTGTTTTCTTGTGTTATTATTATTACAGGTTTCATTCGGTATCAGAGTTCGATGAGACAAAAAGAAGCTGCCGGAGACGTTTGGCCGGACACAATGAACGGCGGCGGAAAAACTTACCGGACTTCCAGGGACAATCCTCCACTTGACAGTGACATAAGAACTACTAATTAATAATGATAATAATAATAATAATAATACAGATTAGTACTAAGAAAGAAGAGTTGGTGCAGTGAAGTTGAAGTTAATTATGCTCTCTCTCTTCTGTCAAACGAAAACCAACTTAATTAGTTTCCTGTTTTTCATCGGTTTTCTTTGGGCGTTTGTCTGTAAGCTTTTGCTGTTTAGGCCGAAGTTTTCATTTTTATATATAAATATTAAATATTAAATATCTGCGTTCATCTCTCTTGTACGGAAGCCGACCTATTTTTTTCATTTTAGTTTTTTTTTTTTTTAGTGTTTAAAATAAGTTTCGGAAAATAATCTTACATGTCCACTGGCAGCTTATTAAGGTGTATACGTTTTTTCTTTTTGCTTTAAATTATTGTAATTTAATTTATACTGATTTTAAATTATAATTATTGTGAATGCATAATAAATTTTTTATGAATTATTATATATTTATAATTAATAACAGAGTTGACGACAAATTATTTATGGATATTAAAAATATACTTTATTTATTACTTTTAATGCATTACAACATTTCTCTATGACGACTTATAAACATGGATTTGCAAAATTATATGAAGAATTTGAGCGTTTTAATTAATTATAAACGAAAATAGGAATGAATTGGAATTACCAAAATGCCCTAGACTGTTGTTTGTGTACAAATTCTTTGGTGTGGAGTGGAGTGGAGCTGCTTTATATCAAATCTGATGCCGTCGAAATTTCGTAGGTCGAAAGAAAAGCAAGAGCACGAGGCTCCCACACCTTTGCCTCGGCGCCCACCGTCCCCCTTCATCATCTCTACAGACGCCAAAACTTTGCTCAACTTACAAATTTGTTAGTTGTGTTCTTCAACTTATTTTGATTGAAACCCAAGCAATGCCGGCTCAGAAGCGCGCTTACGAGGCTGACGATGTTCAGCTTTTGCCGCTACTCCATGCTAGCTTCAATGAACGTTCTGAAGATGGAGAATCTGAGGGTACGCTTCTTTTTCTGCTCAGAACCCTAAATTTCGACGATGTGACCCAGTGGTTGAGGTTCCTGCATTTCATATATGTTGTTGTTTGTTTGCTTAATTCTTTTTTTGTGTCTGTACTGAGTTTGTGGTGTTCTATGTTGCTCCTTGTTTCGTCAGAATCCGATCGATGCCCTTCGTCCAGTCAAGGAGATATGGATGAGTATGTTCCGTTTATGAGCTCTGTTTTTGGTTTGGTTCTTTTTGTTCGTCGTGCTGTTCCTTTTTACTCTATTTGTTCTTTTGATTTATTTCGTCTGCTTGATTATGGAATAATTTGGTGCGTAACTGCTTGGGATTGATTTGGGAGGTTTGCTTCGCGGTAGTGTTCATTAAGTTCTTGCTGCGAGCGTATTAGAATACGAGTTGTGTAGGTTTCACGTGCTGAGGCTTACGTCGATTTTACTCCTGCGCCGGAGTTTTCTCTATTTCTAGTTTTGAGTTTCCTTTCCGATTAAGGGTAGTGGAATTGAGGGCTGGATCTTGTGCGCGGGGTGGATTTTCTTGGTCGTGTACGCAATCAGTGTTTTTGGATACGCTACGAGCTGCTGCTGTTGGATGGGTAATGACGTCGAAGCTCACATCGTTTTAGCTTCTGTGAATGTTTGATTAATCCACCACACCCAAATGGTGGTGAGAGTTCTCTTATTTATAATCATTTACAGAATACAGAAATAAGGTAAATTACAAATAATAAGGAAATAGCGATAAAAGGAAAGAATAATAAATGAATACAATATATTTGCATTTAGTAAAAGAGAAAATATGGTAACCCGTAATGTAAGGCAAATATCTAGATATTTGCCTTAATGAACGGTCAACTATCCTTAACACCCCCCCGCAAGCTGAGCGTCGGATTTGAACGAACATGAAGCTTGGATCTGAAAAATTCAAAGAGAGGTCGAGAAATACTCTTTGTGAAGATGTCAGCAACTTGGAGATGAGAGGGTACATATTGTGTACGAAGTTTGCCAGCGATAACAAGTTCTCGAAGGAAATGATAATCTAGTTCAACATGCTTGGCCCGCTTGTGAGAAACAGGATTAGAGCTCAAAAAAATAGCACTTTTGTTGTCACATAAGAGTAAGGGCTGCTGTGAAATAGGGACCTTGAGGTCATGCAAAAGATGCGTAACCCAAAGAAGTTCAGCAGCAGTTGTGGCAAGAGCACGATACTCAGATTCACAGCTGGAGCGTGATACAGTAGGTTGCTTTTTGGCACTCCAAGAAATGAGATTGTTACCAAGATAAATAGAATAGCCGGATGTAGAACGACGAGTATCGGGACAACCAGCCCAGTCAGCATCCGAATAAGCGACTAGCGTACTAGGAACAGTGGATGGACGAAAGATAAGACCAAAGTGGAGTGTTCCTTTGACATAGCGAAGAATACGTTTGACAGCAAGAAAGTGATCTGCAGTAGGGGCATGCAAGAATTGACTGACAGAATTGACAGCATAGGCAATATCTGGACGCGTGATAGTCAAGTACTGAAGGGCGCCAACAAGAGATCTGTAGAGAGTAGGATCAGAGAAAGGAGAACCATCAGCAGTCAGGTGTTGAGAAACAACCATGGGAGTGTGAACTGGTTTGCTATCGAGCAACTGAGCACGAGTAAGAATATCTCGAGCATATTTTAACTGACTGATAAAGAGACCATCAGGAGTGGGTGAAGCTTCAAGACCAAGAAAGTAACTGAGAGAACCCAAATCTTTGGTAGCAAACTCAGAATGAAGCTTGCGAGTAAAGCTGTTAATAAGAGATGAGTTGTTGCCGGTAACAATAATGTCATCAACATAAAGAAGCAAATAGATAAGGTTAGATTGCTGATGAAAGACAAAAAGGGACGTGTCAGCGCGACTACAAGAAAACCCAAGTGTGAGAAGAAATGAGCTAAAACGCTGAAACCAAGCACGAGGAGCTTGCTTTAAGCCATAGAGAGCTTTCTTTAATAGACAAACATGCTTTGGAAATCGAGGATCAACATACCCAGGAGGTTGTTCCATATGAACACGTTCAATAAGCGTTCCATTGAGAAAAGCATTCTTGACATCAAGTTGTCGAAGAGGCCATTTATTTGTGACTGCAATAGAAAGCACAACACGGACAGTGGTAGCTTTGACAACTGGACTGAAAGTGTCAGTGTAGTCAAGACCAGGAACCTGAGTATAACCTTTGGCAACGAGACGAGCCTTGAAACGCTCGACGGATCCATCGGGCAAATATTTAATACGAAACACCCATTTAGAGCCCACGATGTTGGTGTTGGCAGGGCGAGGAACCAAAGTCCAAGTATCATTTTGTTGTAACGCTCGAATTTCTTCATCCATGGCAGCCACCCAAGCAGGATTCTTAGCCGCAGATTTGAATCCTTTTGGCTCAGTGGATGCAAGAAGAGCAGAGAGAAGTTCAGATGAGCCCAACATACCAAGATTTGCTGGATGACGAGTCTTGAATATACCAGCTTTGGCGCGTGTGATCATAGGATGAGTGCCCAAAGAAGAGAAATCAACAGGAGGTTCAATAGAGGTTGAATTAGAAGTCGAGGGTGACAAAGTGGAACCTGCAAGAGAAGTATCAACCTGCACAGACTCATCTACAAGGTCAGAACAAATATCACACGGGGATGAACTGGATTGAGGAATGTGCGGTGATGAAGTGGTAGGGGGGGATGAATCAATATGATGAAGATGTGGTTCCAAGAAATTTGAAATAGGAATAGTGGAAAGAGGTTGGGCTTGGGAGCTAGGGATAGCAGGAAAGTGAGTTTCATCAAATTGAGCATGGCAGGTGATATATAGCTTAGTGGTGGCGGGATCAAGACAGCGGAACCCTTTATGAACAGGACTATAACCCAAAAAAATACAAGGAATGCTGCGGGGAGAAAGCTTGTTAGGCATATAATCACGCAAATAAGGATAAACACGACAACCAAAGGGATGAAAATTGTCATAATGTGGAGTGTAGCCATAAAGGAGTTCAAAGGGTGACTTACCTCCAAGAAGTGGAGTAGGCAACCGGTTGATAATATAAGCTGCAGTGCTGAAGGCGTCAACCCAAAAACGAGGAGAAAGATGAGAGTGAAAGAGAAGGGCCAAGCCAGTCTCAGTCACATGACGATGTTTTCTCTCAACACGACCATTTTGAGCAGGTGTATATGGACAAGAGAGTTGATGGTGGATGCCAGAATTACGTAAATGAGTTTTGAAACAAGTACTAGTAAATTCGGTACCACCATCGCTTTGAAATACCTTGATACGAGAAGAATATTGATTTTCCACAAATTTTTGAAATTGAAGAAAAATATCAAAAAAATCAGATTTAAATTTTAAAGGGTAAAACCAAGTGAATCGAGAATAATCATCAATAAAAATAGCATAATAAAGAAAACCCGAATTTGATTTGACGGGAGAAGGACCCCAAAGATCACAATGAATAAGATCTAACACATGAGACGACCTACGTTCATTGCGGGAATAAGGCAATCGATGGCTTTTCGCAAGCTGACAACTATTACATAATGATGGAGAAGGCAATAAAGACGTAAGAGAAAGATGACCTTTTTTATTTAAAAAAGAAATAACAGAATGATTCACATGACCCAGACGAGCATGCCATAAATCATATGAAGCACGTAAAGATTTGTTTTTAAGGGCTGAAATAAAAGCAGAGTTGCCGCGCTCCAGCACATATAGCCCTCCATCTCTTTTACCGGTTGCCACCACCCTTCCTGTTTGATGATTCTGGATAGTAATAAGATTATTAGTAAATGTAACGGAGAGAGGAAAATCAGACGTTAATTTACTTATGGAAAGAAGATTTTTAGTGAGGTGAGGGACAACCAAGACATCTAATAAGTGAATATTTGGAACAGGAGAAAGAGTACCGATGTGGGTAATGGGTAGGGATGCACCGTTTCCTACAATCACAGAGTCCTTACCCGTGTAATTTTTAGACTGATCCAGAATTGATGGGTCGGCAGTCATATGGGCCGAAGCTCCAGTGTCCAAAAACCAATCAGCAGCATCGGGTCCAGCAATAGAACATGACGTGTTAAAGGCTTCAGCAAGGTGAGCATGAGAAGAATCAGGTCGAACATACCGTTGGTTGCAGCGGTCAGCATAATGGCCCTCTTTGCGGCATATTTGGCAATGAGGTGGTCGACGACCCTGACTTGAGTGGGTTCGTCCTCGATTAGAAGAGTTGTTTTTGTGAGAATAAGAACGACCTCGCTGGTTGGTAAAGGAAGCAGGGTGACTTTCATGGGTGCGGCCACGATTAGTGGCTATGAATGCTGTAGGAGTGGAGTCAGAGGACTCAAGGGAGCGCTGGAACAACTCAAAACTTTCAGTTTTAGAGACTAGATCTGCAAAACAGGGGATAGGGGTGAGAGCCATCTGAGCAGTAGAAAAAGCTGAAAATTCGGTGCCGAGTCCACGAAGGAACCAATGCACTTTATCAATGTCCTCGACGGGTCTGCCAATGGCATGAAGTTGGTCACAAATTTTTTTGAAGGCACGGGCATACTCAGCAACAGGTTTTGTGCCACGTTTCATCAACTGCAAGTCATCCTTGAGTCTCAGTTCACGAGCTTTTGACTGATGGCTGTACGTAGTTTCCAACGCAAGCCAAACATCACGTGCAGTAGAGAGACCAACGACAACAGCCATGGCTTCCTCAGTGAGAGAGGAGAGCAGGAGACAGAGAAGTCGTTGATCGGCTGCTCTCCATGCCAAATATTTGGGGTTGAATGTTGAGGAGGTTTCTGGTTCAAAGCGAGGTGGTGGAACCATAGTTCCATCGACATAGCCCAGCATGTCTTGACTCTCAAGAAGAGGGAGAAGTTGGCTTTTCCAAAGAAGATAATTGGAGGAAAAAAGTTTGATGGTGATCATATGGATTAGAGTATTGAAAGGAAGAAGATGATAACAAGATTCGGAAGCATAGAGAAGAAAGGATCAGGGTTGTTAAACCGAAAGGGCTCTGATACCATGTGAATGTTTGATTAATCCACCACACCCAAATGGTGGTGAGAGTTCTCTTATTTATAATCATTTACAGAATACAGAAATAAGGTAAATTACAAATAATAAGGAAATAGCGATAAAAGGAAAGAATAATAAATGAATACAATATATTTGCATTTAGTAAAAGAGAAAATATGGTAACCCGTAATGTAAGGCAAATATCTAGATATTTGCCTTAATGAACGGTCAACTATCCTTAACAGCTTCCTTACGATGTTAAACCTCACATGATCTGAGATCAAGCGTTTGCTTAATGTCGTATCAAGCTTACTATAACTGGTTCCCGCCATTGATTGCTGAATCCAATTTGACGAAAACTACAAGAAGTTAACGAATGGAAACCCGAAGTTTCGAAAAGAACGGTAGTTACCAGATTTTGGGCAACTTGGGTGGTACTCTTGCGCTAGCGCGATGAAAGAACCATTTGGGTTGTGTTTTTGAATCTATATGCTGAACCGAAAGTTGTTTATCGGTTCTTTAGTTGCATGGTAAAAAGTACGATTCCCTGAACAATAACACAATTTCAGGCGTCTTGCTATTATTACGACTCCCTAAATCTTCTGTTTGGTTTCTTTTCCAGATTTATAGCCGTGAAATTGTCTGACATCCGGAGAGAAGTACAATGTCCTATCTGCTTAGGTATGTATTAATAATCCCTTTTTGTTGAACATATTTATCTCAAATAAGACGAGATTTCCATCGATTTGAACATCTGGCCTTAATTCTTACACAATCCATGTTCTGAAAGTTAAATACGTTTACTTCTGAAACAAACTTGCTATTTTATATTGGCAGCAATATGTCATCTGGTTTTTACTGATTTTAACAAGTATGATTGTTGTCATATCCTGAGTATCAATCATCTATATAATTAACTTATTTTTGTTCATGTACATATGCATTGCGAAGATGGCCTATCAATAAGGTTATTTCAAATGCTTGATTTGTCCAGAATGAAATGTGGAGGATGAGAGAACTAATTTTAAATGAATTATTGAATCAATCGCCCTCGGAGCCATCTGATCTAAGAATCTATTTTGATGTGATAAAATCAACTTTTTGAATATAAGTTGTGTCAGAGAACATAGAGACTGTTTGTAATCCTGAATCTGGGTGTGATAGCGAAACTTAAAATCTCAGATTGGCTTTGTATTTTTTTGAATTATTTATTTAAGACTGGTTGGGATATGACTTCTTTATCAGATTATTTACACGCAACAATCCATTCTTCTAGGTTATCAGTGTCGGGAATGAACACATTTCATGCCCGTCCCCCCTCCTCTAGGTCCTAAACACAATTAAAATAATTGCATTTTTTGGCTCCTTGAACCTACTTTGAATGTGCATTTGTATTCTAGGGGACATTTATATTTTCCATCCGTATTATAAGTTAAGATGATCAACTTTTCCACCTCCACTAATTTGTCTTTAAATTAACGTCGTTGTAGAGTTTTGCGTTTTGTGATTAGGCAGATCCATCAAAGAGAAACTAGTTGATTGTAGATTGAATGAAAGTATATGAGGCTACGGAATTTGGTTTTCATTTCTTTCCGTGTTGTGCGCTTCTCTTTGAACCTTACCCTTTCAGGCTACATTTTAAGTCCATTTGGAGCGAGTGCTTTTTGATGGTGTTGCATGTATACAGATAACAATTAATGGATATATGCGTATGCACGACTTCAACTCATTGTTTACTCATATTGTCAAGATTATTGATCCTTACATTCAGTTCATGCACATGCTGCTTTGTGATAAAGGCAACACCAAAGCATGTTATTTTTTTCGTAAGAAAATAACTAAAATCCAAAACAAAATATTCCTAAAATTTTGACATTTTTTAGTGGGTGTATCCAAATTATACGAGCCATGACATTCAAAGTCTTAGCACGGGGAAATATATTTAGGTGGATTTGATGGGCAACCTCAGAACTCATGTAGGAAGCATCTGCATCTCCACGTTTATGCACGTGTAGTTTTCTTAGGTGAATTATGGAAGTTTTGCAATTTCAAATATGCAGGAATCATCAGAAAAACTAGAACCGTGATGGAATGCCTGCACCGTTTCTGCAGGGAATGCATTGACAAATCGATGCGTCTAGGGTATGCTCTTAGTTTTTATTTTGATGCTGTTAATTGCTGTACAGCTCTAGAAATTAAATGTAACTGCACAATTTTCCCTCCCCTTGTTGTTGCAGTAACAATGAATGCCCTGCTTGCCGCACTCATTGTGCCAGTCGACGCTCTTTGAGAGATGACCCAAATTATGATACCTTGATTGCTGTGTTATATCCAGATATTGACAAATATGAGGAAGAGGTAGGATTATTATGGTTTATCATGCAAGATTGGCGCTTGATGATTGATATCGTCATCTCTGCCTACTTTATATTGTTTCATTTTTGCAGGAATTGGCTTTCCAAGAAGAAGAGAAAGCTCGCAATAAGCAGGTGAAGAGGCTAAGTTTTGTGGATTGTGTTAGTATGGACATGCATTCGTTTGTTTCCAGAGTTGATAAGTTCAGTCTACATTGTTCAATGTACAAGAAACCACAGAAGAGAAACCTCATAAATATGCAATGCAAAGTTGTGGGAGCATTGGGACATGAAATAGAGCATGTGTTCGGCTGTTGTGCTTTTCTTTTCTGTTTGACTTGGAAACATCTCGTGATCTGTCCATATTTGGTCTAAAATGTTGGTTTTTGGTTATTTGGCAGATCCAAGCTTCCATTGCTCAGATACTTCAACAACAAACTGAAGCTTTGGGTAGAAAACGTCCTAAACCTTCAAGGAGATGGAGTTCTAGAGGACGAAAAAACTTCCAGAATCATATTGAGAGTCTAGGCTTTGATGAAAACGAGGATGAAAATGATTATGATGTAAGCAAAAATTCATCTTCTGCTGACGAGCGAATGGACACACGACCTAAAAGATCCAGGAGAGGATGTCCTGTTAGATTTTCCTTGTCTTCTTCAGCTACAGGGGCTGACGGGGCAGATGATGGTGGTAATGGAAATGATTATGAAGTGAACAAAGAATCAGTTGGTGCATCTACGGGGCTTGTTGGTAGCTCAGAAAGACTTTCATGGGGCAAAGGTGGAATAAGAAGTCACACTAGATATGGGGGTACTAATGGAGGGACCGGTAAAATCTCCAGGACTAACCGCCACACAAAGCTGTCAGATTATGTTCGAAACACGGAAAATATCAGCGAAGAGGTAAAAACAAAAATTTGATGTGTTACCAAGCCTCCTTATGAATAAACTATAACATGTTACGTATACATGGCTTGCCTATTGAATTACATGCATGCTGCTTATAAAAGCTCAGCGACCCTTTGTTTCCATCCATCAATAACTTTGCCTTCTCTTCCTTACTTTTAGTTGGACGTCCACCTTATGCTCGTTTCCATGGATGAAAATAGAATACCCGCATTGCAAAGACCATTCCTTTGCTGCAGGCCTTCAGTGACGATTGGACACTTAAGTCAAGTAATGTTTCATTAAATGGAGCTGCACTTCATCCGTTTAGAGTCTTATCCATTTATTTTGTTGAATAATGAGCTTCCTTTCTTCTTCAGTATGTTGCTCTCAAGACTGCGCTTTCCTTCGATGTCGTTGAAATGTACATGGTGAAAGAGCTGCAAATGAAACTCAATCCTTCAACCTCGAGAACTCCTATGGACCCATGTAAAGATAGTGTACAGATATTAAACGAGCAAGAAACGCTGTCGATGGTCAAACTCAAAACGCACTGTCTAGCTTGTGGCTATCTGGTATGCCTTGAACTTGAACCTACACCCACTACAGCAATGAACACCTGTATATACCTTTTCTTACAAATTTTTGAGCTTGTTGCCGTGATTCCAGCTTTTGGCATATCAGATAAAGGGCTACAGTTCTACTGAAGACGAACTTATTTAGCTAAGGAGAAAAAGAGCCATCAAATCTCTGCATGCAGACATGCTTATGCTTACTAGCGATTCATATTAGGAATGAAGATGTAAGTAATTTCCGTACATGTACCAATGTGTTGTCTTTCTTCCCCTTCCGAATGTGTTATCTAACCCCCTCCATTAGTTTCTTCTTATTGGTTTCCCCCCCTTTACCTGTAATTGATGCGCCTGGAAGGAGTGCAATTTTCACAAATCGATGGATTGACATAGCTTAGCTTAGTGGTTGAAACACTAATTATCAGAAATCTATCTCAATTCAGATCTGGTCTTGATAATTTATTGTAACATCAGCGAGTTTTTTTTAAGTTCTTTGGTAATTTTTCCTCAGAGATGGTGCAATATTTTAGTTAAATCTATTTGGTTATGGTTGGTTCCTATCCGAAAGCCCACTGAAATTGATCTCTAATGTACTAATTTTCTTTTCCAGAAACTTATGGTGTGGATTGAATAATTTAATCACTACCTACCTGATTGATTCAGACTCTATCCTTATCCATAAATCGTTTATTTATTTTATTATTTCTTTAGGATTTTTCCAGAGCTAACAGTTACCCACTTCATTTGTGGGCCCCAGTAGGAAATACAGTTGGCCCACACTAGATCTTTTTGGGCGTGGTGGGCCCACTCCATTACCAAGCTCCCAATAACACGATACGATAAAGGGTTCATCACAATGATGGACATCAACAGAACTACACATTCTGAACTGATTAATTATATTTAATTGCAAGTAAACCATTTTATTCAAACAACAATCATGAGTCGCCATCACCGCCGAGCACGGCGGACTAGTCCGACCATCGATCGTGTCAGCAGACATACAAGGACCTAAAACTTGCTTGGACAGCTCAGATGCCAACACCTAGTTAGGACACGTAAATACATAAACACATCATAAGCCCATCCAGGTTCACATCACCAAACATGAGCCTTTTCCGACGCTATTTACATGTAACCACCAGTCAACCGCCACTGTTTAGCGGTGCTCGCTTCTGGTATCACCGCTGTAGAGCCTGAAATCACAAAGTAACAGTATCAGTTTTGATCGATGTGGACAAAAATAGAGAACCAATCAAGCCCCAAGATGTCCGGACCATGATGAAGGTCCAACGAACTAACGGCTTTAGATCATCTCACTCCGGAATATCAAAGAATCAAAATTTCGAATCTTTTTATCACCCATTAACTGTTGGGAATATAGAGGACAAGATGCCCCTAGATTTCGATTTCATTTCTTCATTACTAGAATTTTCTTTTTTTTTTAAAAAAAAATGGTATTTTTCAGACTTTCTCAGCCTTTCTTTTGCGGCGGCGCGTGGATTATACAATGCTCCAAATAAAAGGTTGGAAAGTGGGGGTACACACCAGTCGTAAACAGTTGGAGAGTTGGGTTGAGCCTTGTCGAAGACTTCAGCACCAATAGTCTTAGTGGCAAAGTTTCTACCAGGGTTGAAGACGCTCCTCCAAACATTATCCTTACGCGCCGCCGTAAACGGCGTTGTAGGTGTCACCGGTGTAGCCGGCGATATCTGGCTCTGGTATTTGCTTCCCTCTCCATCCAAATCTAAACCCATCCCGAAAACATCATAGTTACAAGTTGATGTAAATCATAAAAACAAGCAGCCAACCACTAGTAAAAGTGACAATAATCAACAAGAACTTATAGTAAAAGAGACAATCAACAAGATTCAGAAGAAATAGAAAATGAACAAAAAGGGTTACCTTTAACGACCAAGGGCTTGATCTTCCTGAGCTTGCCGAGGCCGCGGTCAGGCTGAGGTCCGGCCACAACATCATCCCAAAGCTTCTCAAGCAGAACCATGTTTGTTGAGTTCACTCCCTCACTTACTTAGAAGCCAATTTCATAGTCATATATGGTCATATAAATAGAGCTCTGAGGGCTCAAAGTGTGTAGGGTAATTTTTGTTCTTTATTTCCCATCATTTTTCTAATAAAAAAGATTCCTCAAAAGTTTTATCTTTCTCGAGACAACGTAGAGCTAAAGATAACCATCGAGAGTTACATTACATTATATTTTAAAATTAACCGTAAACTTACGAAACATAGTATCCATAATAAGAATATGACGATTTAAACTTCACCAACTAAACTCATCAGCTTTTATCCAAAATTATCCTTAAAAACTGACAGCCAAGAAATGGTTCGATAACTTAAACTTGAAGACTTGAAGCATAGCTGGCAATATAAAAATGATCAGCTGGAATTAAAATATAAAGAAGGCAAATGGATAAGGATGAAGACCGAGTAAAAATGGTGACAGAAAGGAAAAGAAATATCTGCTCGAGATATTATATAGTTACAGGAGCAGGTTACGGGTTGCTGTACAAGTGGAATCTCAGCTGCTATTAAAAAACTGGTTTTGTCCGATTTGTCCCAGACGACTGGGGCCCTCTGCAATGACTTTGTTCTTCGATGTTCAACGGCCCAGATTTTGTTTCAGTTGTTCATGCCATTCAAGATCGAACTTAAGACAAGAAAATGCAGAATATGATAATAATATCAGTTCATCTTCTTACCATTTCTTTTATCTTTTCTTGGGTTATATACTTTAAATAATACATCAAGGCTCAAGGCATGCCATAATCGATGGACCTCTTAATCTAGCCAATTCATGGTTGGGACTTGGGAAACTTTCATCTGGTGGAGTTAGCTAAAAAATGGGGTGATAATTCACAGCAGCCTAACATTGATGTTTTCCATTGTATCTCATTTGTTAAAAGGAAACATGTCACCGTTGAGTAATAAACAAATGAGACTGGGAACTTCAAGAACTCACCAGCTGTTTCTTTCATCTACAGTACCAGATGCTTGAAAGAAGCACTTGTATCTGTTAAAGCTGTGCCCAGTTTCAATATTTCATTTTACAGAAACTCATCGTAGCAACAACAGATAAGACGGAGGGATACAGTTTATAAGGAAACCAAGAAAACAAACCGTGAAATGGGAACAAACTAATCCTCTTCGTTGTATGCCCTTTCAAAGTGACATGCCATAAAGCAAACGAAAAAGTACACGAGAGAGGCAAAGTCAAGGCCCAAAAGGCATGAAATAACTCATTGATTCGATGCTCTCTTGCCTAATTCTACAGCTTTTTGCCACTGAAGTCGATTCATTGTTGAGCAATGGAGCTTATAAACCGGTAAGGCGTGATTCAATCTTTGTTATGAAGTCCTCAGGCGAGGAATTTTTCAGGGCTGATGACTAAAATATATGACATGTTGAATCAAACAATTCAATTCCTTCAATTCAGTCCTCTAAATGTAATAGCATTCCAATGGAAAGGCTAAAAGTATAGTGATATTTAAAACAATTGAACTCAATGATTTGCACTGATTAAAACGTAAATTGAAAAGTTCTAATAAATTTTGGTTTCGAGTTCATCTACGATAGATCCCGCCCATAGAGAACAATATACACTGGGTCAAATAGGATGTCTGTAGGACCTTAGCCATTATTTCCTTAAAACTCAAAGACACATTTGTACCACCTATGGAATAAATCATGTTCAAGGCAATAACCTTAGTCCATATTTCTCTTAATATGACTTTTTAAGGGATGGTTATACATCCAATTACAATAGTGGTAACACTTACACAGGAACAAACCTAAAAGACGTCAATTAGAGGTAGAAGATTGAGGCTTAGTTCTAATGTAAAGGCTGAAGCCTTGTTTTGACTGATACAATCATACAATCTCTCCTTATTGAGGCGGCTTTGTTGGTCAGAGACAAATTATTGATTCTGGCAGTTTGTAGGTTAGAGACAAATTATTGGTTCTACATTTGTGGTTATGAGATTCTTCAAGATTGTGAAGACTAGAAAAGAGAAAGGTCTGGCTTCTAAACTAGACCTTTTGAGGGGGTTGATTGGGATTTCCTTCTAGCCATTCTCAAGGCTAAGAGCTTTCTCTCTAGATAGAAATTGTGGATCAGGAGCTGCATCTCTTATAATAATTTCCTTGTCTTATTCAATTGCAGGAAATGAAAAATATATATCTTCTGAGGAAATTCATCAAGGTACGCTCATGGCGAACTGCTTTAGCCGACTGCTCAAGCAAGGGTCTCAGGTCTGGTTTTGTGGAAGGTATCGCGGTAGGTAGGAATGGCTTTTATGCTAATCATCTATAATTCACGAATGCCACTCTCCCATTCCCTATGTACATTGCCTCTTTGATTTCTAACCTGTTCAAGATCGACTATAGTTTTTTAAAAAGCTTCAGGTGTCAATTGATTGAGTCTATCGCAACTAATATTAATTGCTTTAAAGAAAAGATTGGAGTGGGTTGAGAGTTTCAGGTGCATATCACATTATTCACCTCTTCCATACTTGTCTCTCCCAGCTGGGTATCGAGGGTCTAAGTTATTTCAAAATCTGGTTTTGAAAAGAACCACTTTTTCTACTATTGATAATCAAAGGATTATCAGGGGTCAAGGAAAAGTTCGAGAACTCCCTGATATCACGTCTCACTTGGCCAAAAAATACCCCCTCATTAAAACAGAGTATATAGTATTATTAACAAAACAATCCCATTCCGGGTCCAACACCCTAATAAAGCTCACACCCTCACTCACATGACATGCTCATCAACTTCCCTTCTCTTATTTCTATAAACCTAACTAATAGGAGGTCCATCATAGTGGGAGGGTGAATTTCATTCATGAACATTTCACAGTTGTTCCCCTTTTTGCTGAGAGATAGCAGGGCGTGAAGAGACTGGATGGTTCTGGCACCTTTCCCCCAGATCCCCCAATCAAGATATTAATGAAGCTATTTGGGGATAATTGCATCTAAAGAACGTCCAAGCTATTCCCATTTATTTTAGGAAGAAAACGAAGACTTTATGACTTGGTAATTTAGAATAAGATGAGCAAGCCATCAGGCTCAGATATTCGTATCTATTATGATGCAAAAGAGAAGCCACGTCATAGCTACCGCAATCAATAACATCAGGACATTGTAGAACTAAGTTGAATATTTAATAGGTCCATGGAACACTGAAACAAAAACAAATACACAAAACTAACTTCAGCTCTTAAACTTTCATGCTTGCTCTATTTTTACCTCTAAACTTTCCAACATTCTATTTTAATCTAAAAACTTTACATAAAAACCTATTTTAATAGTTGTAGTTAACAAAATTTTCATTAAATCATTTAACAAAAGCTATTTTAATCATTGTCTAACTGTGCCTCCTCCTGGAACCTAATGATTGAAAGGGTTTCAAAGCATCTTGCCTCTTGGAAAAAAAACCTTCTTCTCAGTCAGTTGAGCGGGATCCCAATTTACATCATGTCGTCTTTGCTGGCCAATTTTTTGCTCCCGTCCAAGAGTAAAAGATATTTGCTTTTGGTGCTCTAGCATGCCATGTAGCTTTTTATTCTTTTTTGCGTGGGTCTAACCCACAAGTGTCTTTGTTCCCCTAGCCTTGGAAGCTTCAGATCCCAAAGGTCAGATTTTTTGCCACAAAAATTTTCCACAGTAATAACATCAAGGAGGTTGTGGAAAGTCTAGACCATGTTTCATGGGATTGTCAATTTGCTTCAGTGACTTTAAGAATTAGAATCTTGGACTCTTAACTAAGATGGCTTGCAGCAGAGCGTGCGGGACTATGATGGAAGGGATGTTATTACACCCTCGGGTGTGTTTCTAAGGCAGGCAGCTTTCTTTGCAGCTTCATGGAACATCTGGCTTGCAAAAATAGGAGAGTCATTAGTAATAAAGATAGTCCCTAGGAGGAGGTTCGGGTTTTGGCTAGGTTAAATGACTCCTTCTGGGCTTCCGCCACTGAGCACTTCAGTGGTTATCCTTTTTCTCTCATCCTTTTGAACTTGACCCCCTTTTGTCATTTTCTTGTGGTTTTTTCCCTCATCCTTTGGCTCCTTTTGGATGGGCTCTACTCTTTTGTATTAACCTCGTGCATTCTTTCATTTGATCTCAAGTCGTTCTTTTCTTCAAAATGTGTATATGTGTACATATGCGTACATGTGTCTATAGCCTATGCTTCATAGCAATCAAGATTTTATAAAATAATGAATGATTAACAATAAGACAAACGTTGAGGAACTAAAAGAGAATTTTCAACAAGAAAACATACTATTTAATTTCTCTCGGACAAAATGTACTTCAAAATTTCAGCAAGTCCATATCAGTAAGAAAAACATAGCTGAAATTAGATACGGAAAATAATGGTAAGGAGATTACTTTGCTAACTTTCTAAACACAGGCTCCGAAGCACTACAACTAAGAACAAGAATTCATCAATCTTTATTTTTCAATAAGAAACAAGAGACTTCATTAACCAATAAAAACAGATACAAAAGATGGGGAGCTAAGGCGTAAGTTGACCCAAAACTGAAGGAGCTTACAAAAAGTACCACCAATTAAAGGAAAAAAGGAAAGAGAGAAGGGAAAGAAAAAAAAAAATCATTAGAATGAAAACACCATTCCCTAAGACCAAAGAGTTGACTTGATCTGTAGTCGTTAATCTCAGATTTCTAGAATGAGTAAATTAAAACAAATTAACACCATTCCCTACTGCTTACATGAAATAGAATAATTAGTGAAAGCTAGAATCAATCAAGTTGGAAGTCGTTGAACTAGAAATTTAGTAATTTCTTATAAGTGGATGTTTATTACCATTATTTTGTTTGATTGGAGAGAAGAATTTCACCCGACTAAGTGAAGAATGGGCTTTATTATTTACAATCAACACCAGATTTACAGGTTATATGACGATAAGAACTATTTTCGAACAAAACTTGCAATCAGAATTAAACAGAACAAAGTGAGGGAAGAACGCATGCTTAAGAAAAGAAAATATCACAATGTGTCAAATAATAACCATCACAACTAGTGTCAAGTCTCCAAGAATCAAGATTGTAAAACAACCTTTG